TACATCGCCTAACCCCCGATTCTGCAAAGCAGAGCCCCGAACCATCAGGGATAACTCGGGTCAGGGATAACTCGGGTTCCTTTCTCGGGAATCCAAACCCGAGTTACCCCGGACCCGAGTTACCCCGGATAACTCGGGCTCCCAAATCAGTCACTCCGCACGACACCCCCATACCCCCGGCCTCAGCGGGGGTGAGCCGGTCTTGCCCGACGGGTGCCGCGACTGGGGCGGGGATTTTCGGGGGCGGCGCACGCTCGAGCGACTGCCTCGGAGGCCACCGGACGCTCTCTCTCACCTCCCCCCGTGGGCCCCAGCATCCCGCCTGCCAGGGGAGGCGGTCTTGAACCCTCAAACAGAAAGCGAGACGGTCGCTTCGTTGCAGGTGTTGGTCTCTGGGCGAAGTCTCCCAGCCCCGGGACCTGTAAAAACCGACTCGGGAAGGAAGGCCGGCCCTGCATGGGCAAGCGGTCGGGCGGCGAGGTTTGCACCCAGACCTCCGGCGATGTCTGATTCCCAACTTGTTCCTGGGGTTGTGGTTCCCCGCCATCCCTCCTCCCTCCTTCCCCCCATCCTTACAGTGGGAACCCACGGCCCATGCCAAGAAACACCCCGCTTGCCTTCAGGGTGCCCCGGGTTTCGTGGGTTTCGATGGCTTTGCAATCGAAAGCGTGATGCTCCCACGCCAAACATCAATGGACGCCCTGAGGTTCCAGGGTCGGGTTTCTTGTGGACGGTCTCTTGTGGTCGGGCCCCTTGAAGGGCCTGGTTTCCACCACCACTACCATAAGTTGGATGGGGGAGGAGGTCTTCCTCCTTCTCCGCCTGCTCGTCCTCCTCCTCCTATCTTTATTCCTTATTAGAATATACTCCTACTCCCCCCTCAGGCCGGCCGATAGGGGCCGCATCCGGGTGGTCCCATCCTAACCTGTAAAAAACAATACAAAATCAACATTTTTCTTATTTTTTCCTCTCGACATGGACGTCCTGTCGTCCACGGCGATAATCCATTGCAAAAAATACCACAAAGAGCACACGCGCGCGTTCATGTCAGAATCCTACCGAACACCGTGTGTTTGCAAGCATTTCAACATAAAAACATCAAAAACCCAATGCTTTTTCACAAAAAATCTACAAATTTCCGCCCGGGCTCTCTTGCTGAAATCATAGGAAAACCATAGGAATCTTAAGAATTCTGTCAAATCCAGCGATTTCACGTCATCGCGCGGTGCACTCGCGATGCTCTGTCATGCACCCAGGCCGCGAATCCTGTGCAAAAAATACCACGCGGGCGACATGCGCGCGCGTCGCCGCGAGCGCATGCTCAAATCTTTCTAGAGTCGTCGCCGTCATTGGCACCGTCGCATGGACGTCCTGTCGTCCACGTCGCAAAATGCATGGCAGGAATGGGACGCGGCGCACACCCCGCGCCCGCCCATCCAATCCGTCCCATTCTAATCTGCAAAAGACAATACACAGTTTTGTTTTTCTTGTCAACATGGTCGTGCTGTCGTCACGTCGCAAAATGCGTGGCAGGAATGGGACGCGGCGCACACCCCGCGCGAAGGGGTGACATGGTACTACTACTACCACTACCACTACCAACACCACTACCACTGGTACTACTACTCCTGCCTCTTGGGGCCTCCTGGGCCCCCTTGGGGTGTCCTGTCAGACCGTCGGGCTTCCTCCGGCCACCTCTGGCTTCCTGCGGTGTACCGGGCCATTCTCGACTCGTCTGGCAATGCGTGCGCGGCATTCAACACGCGCTCGCCAGTTCCCGTCGGCAACCGCCATCGCGGCCGCATCAGCTGTACCAAACCGGCTGGCCGGTGTGACTTCGGCCCCCAGTTGTGCCAGCTTTGCTTCTTATGTTGTGGGAGGGCGGGTGGGACTGGGCATGCCATGCTTGACTCGCTCGAGCTGGCTAGCTTGACTCCTACTCCTACTCCCACTCCTACTACTCCTACTCCTCCTCTTCGTCCTCCTCCTGCTCCTCCTCCACCTCCTTCCCCCTCCAATTTCTGGTGGTGGTGGTGGAAAGCAGGCACCACCACCACCTGCCTTCCGCGTGTCTCTGTTTCGGCACACACATCCACCACGCGCTCCGCGGCCACAGAGTGCCACAGTGGCAGGGTCCGCGTGCGCCCCCCCATTGCAGTACACCGCTCAGGAGGATCGTGGCCCCGCAGGGGAACTCGACTGAAGTCGGGCCTGTCCCTATGCAGGAGGGACATTCAACAAAAAACACGAAATAGTCTGGGGACGATGTTTTAAGGCATTGTTGGTTATTTTGGAGTATCTTGTGGATATGGCGTACTATTCTGTTCCAGTTCCGCATGTAGGGGGACATGCCCGTCCTAAAACTCCACCGATTGTCCCAGTGGCAGGTTCCGCATGCGTCCCCCTGCCCATGTCGGCACACCTCTCATCAGGATCGTGGCCCCATAGGGACTCCACTGACGGCCCCAGTGGCAGGGTCCACATGCGTCCCCCAGGGGATGGCCCCATAGGGCGCGCCAGCTAAGGCTTGAGTGGGGGGGTCCGCATGCGCCCCCCAGCCCATTTCGGCACACCCGTCAGAAGGATCGCTGTCCAACAGGGGGCTCCACCAGAGGCGCCAGTGGCAGGGTCTGCATGCGACCCCCCGCCAATTTCGGAACACTCCTCACGGGGATCGTGGCCGCTGAGGACATTCCACCGACGGCCTCAGTGGCAGGGTTGGCACGGCGCCGCCTGTGCCAGGACATGCGCCCCAGTCCGTTTTTTTTGCGCGTCCCCATCATTATTGTCGCTTGCCTTGCGCCAGGCAGCGTCGCCACGACAGTTCCCAGGTTGGGCACTTCGCCAGGACACTTCCCACCCATCCTGTGGTCTTGGGTCCTTGCTTTGAAGAGACGGTCCCCGCGTCCTCCATCTCCTCCTCTTCCGCCTTCTCCTCCTCCTCCTCCTCCTCCTCCTCCTCCTAATCCCTCCTCCTCCTTCTCAGCTTTTCCTCCTCCTCCTCCTCGTCCTCGCTCCCCCCTATCCACTCGTCCTCCTCCTCCATGCATTCTCCTCACCGATACTTTCTCTCTGTCGCACACGGGGGCAAGTTTTCAGGGCTGGTCGGGCGCTTAGAGTGCGAGTCCCCCACCATTTATGATCCTGAAGATGAAATAGTGACAACAGTTTCACAGACAGATGGAGGGCGGGTGGCTTTCAACATGTGGCCCTCGCCGTAGCGCCGCGCACATTCGCTGTGAACATTTGCAAGAGCTTCACGGATTGAGGGCGGGTCGTGTTCAAAATGTGGTTTTCGTTTTAGCGCCGCGTGCATTTTTCAAATCACCAAGAGTGCCACGGATTGAGGACGTGCCGTTTTTCGAAATGTGGCTCGCGCCATATCGCCGCGCAAATCCGTTTTCAAGTTTTGCAAGAGTTTCACGGATTGAAGGCGTTGTTTTTCAAAGTGTGGTTCTCGCTTCAGCGCCGCGCGCACTCGTTTTCAAAATTTGCAAGAGCTTCACGGATTCAGGGCGGTTCTTTTTCAAATGGTGGTGCTCCCCTTAGCACCGCGCGCATTCGTTTTCAAACGGTGTTAGAGTTTTACGGATCCCCGTGATCAGCGTACCAGAAATGGCATGTTGGGAGAATTCTGCATTATGCGGGCTTAACAGTTATGCTGATTCGTTGTGTCGAAGTCCCAAACATTGCGTTCTGGCATGAATTTGGATCGTCAATACGCAGCAACCAGTTTGACACGTGGCGCTAAAATACCGAAAATGATATTGTACGCTTCAGGAGATTCAAACTGTTGTCCTCCAACGAGGCAGTTCCCTCAATGGCAATGAACCGTTTTAGGGGCCTACGCAGAGGGAGTTTGGAGGGAGAGTTAATTCCAACATCGTTGATGGCTGTTGGGTTTCCACTGGTCCTCCTCCTCTTACTCCTCCTCTCCTCCTTTTCCTCCTCCTCCTCCTCCTCTTCCTCCTCCGCTTCTCTCCTCCGTCACCCCGCTCGCTTTGGCACACCCCTCACATGTTTCGTGGCCCCATAGGGGAGCTCATACCAAGACCACATCGGCTGCGTTCACATGCCGCCCCCTGAGCACTTAGGCACACACCTCACACGCTTCGTGGCCCCATGAGGGCTCCCATCCACGGCCCCAGGGGCTACGTTCACACGCCGCCATCTGCACACTTTGGCACACCCCCCACACGTTGCGTGGCCCCATAGGGAGCTCCACCCACGGTCCCAGTGGCTGGTTTCACATGCCGCCCCCTGAGCATTGTGTCACACCCCCACACGTTTCGTGTCCCCATACGGTGCTCCACCCAATGCCCCAGTGGCTGCGTTCACACGCCGCCACCTGCACACTTTGGCACACCCGCTGCACGCTTCGTTGCACCATGGGGAGCTTCACCCAAGGCCCGCCGCCCTCGGAGCACTTTGGCACACCCGTTGCACGCTTCGTTGGCCCATGGGGAGCGAACCAAGGCCACAATGGCTGCGTTCACATGCTGTCACCTGGGCACTTCGGCACACCACTCACAGGCTTCGTGGCCCCATAGAGAGCTCCACCGCAGGCCCCATCGCCATGGTTCGCATGCGTGTCTTCCACCCAGTACAGCGCTTCGTGGACCTAGAAGGGGCTCCCCCAAAGGCCCTAGTGGCGGTGTCCGCATGCGCTTTCCCCACCCAGCGCAGCGTTTCGTGGACCCATAAGGAACTCCACTGAAGGCCCCAGTGGCGGTGTTCGCATGCGTCTCCCCAAACCACTACAGCGCTCCGTGGCCCCACCCAGTGCAACGCTTCGTGGCCCCACCCAGTGCAGCGCCCATTGGCTCAAGGGCTCAAAGCAGTTTCCCTTACCAGGTACCTTGCCCATGGTGGAGAGACATTTGCACATCTGCCCCTCGACACCTTCCTCTTTGACTCAACCCGCTGCTTACATTGGCTTGCACTCATGCGGCCCGCCCGCTGTTCGGCGCACTGCCAACAAGCGCCGACGTGCAGGGCCGATGCTGGCCTTGCGGCCAGGCGCTGCCCGGCGCCGCGGCTGCCGCCGCTGCGATGGCTGGGCCGGCCCCGCTGCCGCCAGGACTTGCCGCTCCAGGTGTTGGTGCTGCTCCAACGGCGATCCCCAGCAGGGCGGTTGGCGAAATCGTGAACACCGAGGCCGGCGGCACAGGCGCCACGCGTGACATGGCAGCTCTGCTGGTGGAGGCGAACGCGGGTACCGAGCTGGACCAGTTGGATGCCATCGAGGTCGACAACGAGGACACCAGGAGGACGACGTCCGGTGCTGCTGCTGCTGCTGCCGTGCCCGCTACGGCATGTCCTATCCTGGCTGAGTGGTTCCATGATTTTTGCGGATGATAACACCATCCGCCACGTCGGGTTGACCTAGGCAAGTACCTTGACAATGCCAGACGACATCCAGCATCCTGATACCAGACTCTTGGGACACGTTTCGCAAGTTACACATGAAGCTCGCATTCAATTGTTCAGCATCGAATCCTTGGAACATACTTGGGTTTGGCCCCCTAGACGGCCCGGGGCCTACGGGGCAGTGCGTCGCCACCCGCGCGCGCACCGCGATTCCTTGAATTGTCTCTGACTCGTTTTCCTAAGTGCGAGTGGCCTCGGGAGTTTCTGAGCAGTGGAGCCGCGTCCGCCTCGTTCGCTGCTCCTGCTGCTGCTCTCTCCCTCTGCTCCGAAACCGCTCCTGCTCAAGCTCTATCAATCGAGGGGCCCCCGGCAGTGCATGGGCGTGCCGTGGGCCGCAGCCGGCCCGTGGGCGGCCTCCATCGCGACTGCGTGGCTCTCGCGCTGCCCCGCCTGCCCAGAGGCCCGCGTGACGTGCGGGGCCTGCCCCGCGTGCCCTGCGGCGGCGGCCGCCGCCCCCTGCCCGGGCTGCCCGAGCTGCCCGGACTGCAGTCTGACCTGCGGGTCCGGGCCAGGCTGGTGGGCGGTCCTGGCCGCCTTGGTCGCCGGGCTCGCGGCTGGTGGCGGCCTCCGCGTGACGCTGGGCTGGGCTGCCCGAGTCGCCTCGCTCTTCGTCGGCGGGACCGACCCGCCGCCTGTGACCCTGCTCGTCGAGGACGACGGAGCTGGCCAAGACGGCGGTGCGCATCGCCGCTTTCGGGCGGTGCGGGCATAGCCTGATCGTCCGCTGTTGGCCAGATGGCGGCGATGCGGACGCTCGACGTGCCCGAGGCGCAGGTGTGCGTGAACTACGACGACGACGACAACTTTCGGTGGCACCACAGGGTGCTCCTCGAGCAGCTCAGCCCTGGCGTCTGGGTGGCGGCGACGCCCGACGGCGAGGTGCTGACGCTGGACCTCAGCAAGCACCTGGTCGTCCCGTTGCGTCGGGGGTCCGCGTTCCCGGTTCGGGTTCGTGGGCAGGTCTATGCGTTCGGCGACCAGTCGGACGAGGACATCGAGGCGCTGCGGGTGGAGGCGCGAGGCCTCGCCCTGGTCATGGGCGTCTCGGCCCCAGCTGGGATTGCTGGGGGCATCGTGCCGCGCTGGATCGTCTCGGACCCAGGCTCTCCCGAGTTTGGGCGCGAGCTGGACCTCCAGCTCATCGGCAACCCGGAGCGGCTGATCAGCCGCGACGCGGTGGGCATCGCGATGCTCAGCGAGGAGGAGGGCTGGGTCTCGGTCGAGAACGTGCAGCAGGCCGACGAGGAGGACTGGCGCGCCGAGAAGCGCCGAGGCCCAGGACGCGACCCGCGGATCCTTCCGCTGGCGCGCCGGGGTCGGGGGGTCCAGGTGACGCTCGGGGAGGCGCTCGCGAAGATGAACGCGGTCGACTTCGACGACTGGCCCTTTCGGGGGCCGAGGGCCCTGCCCGAGCTGCTGGCCGCCATCCTGGCCACCGGGCTGACCCTCACGTCCTACTGGGGGTACTGGGTCTCGGAGTCGGGGGTGTCCCGGAACGCCGCGGAAGCCCAGGAGGTGCGGCGCGCGTTGAATCAGCTGCACCACGCCGTGACGTACGACCTCGTGGACCCGTCGAACTTGGCGTCTCTGGAGCTCCTGGGGCGCCGAGTGCTGCAGATCCAGCGTGCTGTGAAGAGGTGCCCGCGCCGCCCGAGTTTCGAGGGCCTCGGCCTGATGTTGAGCAGCTCTCTGGACGAGAGCGGAGGCATCGTGACGTCGCGGTTCGACGCGTTCGTGGCCGAGGAGCAGAAGTCGCAGGGCATCATTCTGAAGCAGGAGCGGATGTACCGGGAGGAGCAGGAGTCGGAGGCGAAGAAGTACGAGAGGCAGGGCGACGACAGGGAGAGGGGCTCCAGGGCGGATCCGAAGGGCAAGGCGAAGCCGAAGCCCAAGGCCGCCGCGAAGGATCAGGGCTGACGGCGCCATGTCGGCGCCATCATGGCTGGGCCCTCCGCCCGGCCTCACTTGGCCTGGCCCTGACTCCGCAGCCGCGGATGCGAGTCGGGCCGGGCTGCTCTCCGAGGGGGTCTCCTCCGAGGGTCGGACTTCGTCCACAGTTTTGTTTCCTCTGCCGCAGGGTGACGAGTTCTTTCGGCACCCTCATCGCGGAGAACGTGCCGCTCTGCCTCGGTATCTGGCCCAGCGTGCTGCTCGTGCTGACGACCGTGATCGCAGGTCTCTCGAGACTCTGGGCGCGCTCAACGCGCTGGCAGGCGCACGGGCTGGGGGGCGTCTCGAGCCTCGAGCGCCCGGCAAGCATCGGCCGACTACCGCCCAGGAGTCGGTCATCAAGCGAGTCCGACGTCGTATCCGCGGGTTCGGCGACCGGCCGAAGGACATGGACTGTGCTGGAGCCCTTCAGGAGCTCCTCAAGTGCAAGGATCTTTACTCGAACATGGGCGAGGCTTCTACTCGCCGCGACTATGATGCTGACAAGCTCAACGTGTTACGACGTGCGCCACAGGACCGGCCTCGTCAGCTTCGAGACGTTGCCCCTCGGCACGTCACCGAAGCGCTGGACCACTTCGACTCGGACGTCGTTCGCCCCGCGCCGAACATCCCCGAGGACGAGGTCATTGTCGAGCCGTACTGGGACCCTCTCCTCAACCCGCGGGACCCCCAGAACCGGCCACGTCTGGTCGACTTCCTTCGACGACTCGCTGCACGGGGCCTGGTGGATGGCCGGGCGCGTCGGAAGGCGTGCGTCAGTACCTTCTTCGTCGCCAAGAAGAACGGCGACATCCGCATGGTCGTGGACGCTCGCCAGCCCAACCAGCTGCACAAGCTTCCCCCTCGGACTGTGCTCGCATCGGGCGAGGCGCTGGGCTCGATCAACTTGCTCGACGCCGTCGGCGCGAGCCCTGAGGACTTGGCGGATTTCGACGGCTGCTATGAGTCGCTCTGCGCAGGCTCCGTGGACCTCATGGACGGGTTCTACCAGTTCGCCGACCCTTCGTGGGGCAGCTGGATGTGCTTCGACGTGGAGGTCACCGCTGACGAGCTCGGGATCGACTCGATCTACGACGAGAAGCTCGGGCGCCGCGTGGCCGTATCAGGCGACGACGTCATCTGGCCCTGCTTCGCGGCGCTGCCCATGGGCTGGAGCTGGGCGCTCTGGATCTGCCACGAGGTTCTCGTCGATGCGATGGTCGAGGCGGGGCTCCCGAGCGACGGCTGGTGCCTTGACAAAGCCCGGGCGCCGACTCTCGTCGGACAGGCTGTCGTCAGGGCCCCGTACGTCGACAATGGGAATCTTGTGTCGCTCAGCGCGCCGGCGCTCAACGACCGGCTGGACAAGCTCACCGCTGAGCTGGGCCGTCGTGGGCTTCGCTGGCACGAGCTCGAGCGCGCGCAGCCCGGCCTTGTCATCTTGGGGCTGGTGCTCGACGGGCGCGAGGGCCGACTTCGGCACACCGCCAAGCGCGCCTGGAGGCTCTACCTGGCTCTGCACCACGTGCTTCGGATACCGTGGCTCGCCCGCTGGCAGGTGCGACGGATCGTCGGCCATCTGGTGCGCTACTTCTCCGTCGTGCGCCCCGGGCTCAGCGTGCTGGGGGCCTGCTACACGTTCATCGGAGACGGCGACCTGTCCACTGTCGTGCGCTTGCCTGGAGATGTTCTCGGTGAGCTCGCAGTCGCTGCAGGGCTCGTCTTCCTCGGCGAAGTGGACTTGTGCCGCGTGCCGTCCGACATCGCCTTCACGACCGACAGCTCGCTGCGAGGCTACGCCGTCTGCGAAGCCCGGCTGGAGCCCTGGGAGGTGCTGGCGGCCACCAGATGGCGGGAGCGCCAGCGGTTCGTTGCCACCGAGCCCGAGGTTGCGCCTGACGACGAGCAGTACGAAGGACGGGCCGCCGGCTTCTGTGACATCTCCGAGCCACTGCCCGTCGAGCTGCCGCCCCGGCTGCGGCGCGCCGTGGCCAAGAGGCGCCGGGTCGAGTTGGAGATCGGCGTCCCGCCCGAGCCGTTGGCCGACGCTCTGCTGGATGCTGGCCGCTGGGTGGAGCGCCGCCGTGGCGCGTGGCGCCGGCCAGGGCGTATCCACGCCCTCGAGGCGCGCGCCGCTGTCGCACCGCTATGGAGAGCGGCAGCCGATGTCAACTTCCACGGGAAGGAGATCCTCAGCCTGTGCGACAACATGTCGTCGGTCCTCGCCTTCGAGAAGGGCAGGGCCACCAATTTTGAGCTCCTGGCACAGTGTCGCCGGGCTGCGGCCGTCTGCTTCGGGTGCGAGATCCGCTGGCGCCCGAGGCACGTGCCTGGCATCTACAACGTCGCGGACCACGGGAGCCGGGCGGCTGACCGGGGTGAGCTCCTCCCCGGACGCTACCGCGGGCGTGGCGCCCTGTCGGCGCCCACCAGCGGCAGCCGCCGACTGCCCGTGGTCCCGCCAGCCGCGGGCAAGGCCGAGGCCTCGCCGACCACGGCTGTCGAGTTTGAGATCGGACGAGAGCAGGCCGAGCTGCTGGGGCCTGAAAACACCGAAAGATACCGTTGCATTCCTTTACCTTTGTCACCTCAGCCCGTCTCTGACACGGATTCCCTTTCTTCCCAGAGTAGAAGGCATCAAGATGAAGTCTCGAAAGTACTCCCCAACGAGCGACCCCGACAAGATCGACATGAGCATGCTCGAAACCTACCTGTTGCACTCGAGCCTCCTGGAGTTCCTCTACGGGGCCCACATGTACACCTTGGGGCGCGCGAAGATCCTCAACGGGACCCTCCTGAGCGCCCTCGGCCTCTTGCGGTTCTACAACGGGGCCCACCTGTACGTCTTGGGCCACACGAAGAGCCTCAACGGGCACTGGCTAAGCGCCCTCGGCCTCCCGAAGTTCTCCGACGGGGTCCCCCTCGTAAAGCCTTCCTCGAGATCTTCGCGGGTACTGCAAATCTCAGTGGTGCGATGCATGAGCGAGGTTTCCGGATCATGCCCCCAATGGACTCCAAGTATGGGCCCCACTGTGACCTCACAAGCCGACGTGTCCAGCATCTCGTTGAACATTGGCTCAAATCGGGAGAAGTCTGGTGGGTCCACCTTGGCCTGCCCTGCACGAGGTGGGTGCCAGTCGGGGGCGCGCGCGATCCAGCGCCGGCGGACCGCACGCTTGTGGCGTTCACAGTCCGTGTCGTGCGACTCTGCCGGTCCCTGGGGATCTTCGTCACTTTCGAGAACCCGCCTGCGAGCCGTGTCTGGAGGTGGCCCGCGTTGGAGCGAGAGCTGCAGCGCCTTGCCTGGCCGAAGGTGCTGTTCGACTCGTGCAGGTTCGGCGCGCCCTTCAAGAAGCCAGGTGCGATCGCCGGGAGCCTTCCCGGGCTGGGCCATCTTGCACTGCGCTGCTGTTGCGCTTGCCGCCATAGGGTTGAGCTGCAAGGCAAGGTCCGGCATCCGACGCGGGGCTGGACGTGGCGGACGACTCTGGCCGGGGCTTACCTACCCAGCTGGCGCCGCCTGCTGGTCTCGTTGGCCGGCCCAGACGCCCCTCAGAGTGCTTTCGGGCGCTCGACCCAGGATGACCTCCAGGCTCGGGCTCACGCGCTGGCAAGCGCGGCCGGGGTCGCCGAGCTCCGCGGAGTCACGGCGCCGATCTGCCCGCAGCGCTTTCGGCTCCCCTGGAGGCCAGGGTGGGCCACCGCGCTCGACCCGCGGCCGCGCAGCCGCTGACGCGGCCGCTGCACCAGTGCCGGCGCAGCCGCGGTCGCGCTGGCAGCCGCGGGCAACGGCTGGCGTCGACGTCCGCGAGGCAGACGTCGATGCAGGCGCCGACTCAGCCGTGCTGACGCCCAGGCGGGCAGGCCGGAGCCAACGTGACCCTGTCCCTCGTCCAGTGGCCGTGGCCGCCCGGCGCCGCCGGGCGCAGGCTGCCGCGCGTGGAGACGTCGCTGCTGGTCAGCGGCAGGCCGCCCCCGGAGAGTACCTCCGCCTGGCCTCGCTGCGGCCAGCCACGGTCGACAGCTACACGTCCGCCGTGATCGAGCTGACCGACTACGCCAACCGCCGGGGCCTGCTGCTGACCACGCCGGAGCTGGCCGACGAGACGCTCAACTTGTACTTCGAAGACTTGTTCTTTGCAGGTGAGCCCCAGTACCTGGCTCGTAACGCGTTGTATGGGCTCTGCAAAGTTCGAGGATGGTCTGCTAGCCGACCTCGCTTCCATAAGGCCAAAGATGCTCTAACTGGTTGGTCGGCAAAACTGCCGACTACGCCGCGAGAGCCGCCGCCGTTCGAAGCCGTCCAGCTGACCTGTGCCGTGCTCGACAACGGGACCACGTCTGACCTACTGGCGTGCCTGGCCTCCGTGACGGGGTTTGACATGTACTTCCGGCCAGGCGAGTTGCTCGCCATCAAACCAGAGCACGTCTTCGGCTCTCGTACGTCGGGCAGGGCTTCCGACATCACCGTCGTCGTGGCACCGCTAGGCGACGACAAGCCAGCCAAGAACAAAGATTTTGACTGTACGGTGAAAGCCGGCACCGACTTGCCAGTTCGCCGAGTCGTTCCCGAAATTCTCTCTAGGCTGCGAGCCCGTGCCAGACGTCAGAAGCTGCCAACTCTGTTCCACCCTCTGTCCCTTCCTCTCTTTGAAAAGACTTTGAAGCAGGCCGCCCACTCGGCAGGAGTTGGTGATCTCCTGTCAGTTCCTCACCAGTTGCGCCACGGAGGGCCCTCGCACGACGCTCTGAACAAAATTCGACCGATCGAGGCCATCCAGCAGCGCGGGCGCTGGCGCGCCCGAGAGAGTGTTCGTATCTATGAAAAGCACGGGTCGGCCCTTCGTCAGAGGTCAAAGCTCACTGAACTGCAGATCTCGTCAGCCGCCCGTTTTACTGACTCGACAGTTCGTGACATCCTCAGGCGCGTGTGCGCCACCTAGTCTTGTCTCTTCGCCCCAGCCTCAGACCTAACAGTGATAATGATTTATACCCACCCGCCCTCCCGAAGGGCATTTGACGATGGGGATGGGACGCAAATGTACTGTGTGTGTGTGTGGCAATTTTTGGTGATTGCACTTAGCCGCTGAAGTTGTACCACTTCCACGGCTCGTGTTTTTAGAGTACCACCGTGTGCCCCACGGCGCTTGCCTGATGAAAAAGGATGATGACCCCTCGTCTCTCGGTTCAATCTGTGCGCTGTCGCTGTTTCCGCAGACCCCATGGGGTGGCCACGCCCTTATGATAGGAATGAATTGTCTCTGGCTCGTTTTCCTAAGTGCGAGTGGCCTCGGGAGTTTCTGAGCAGTGGAGCCGCGTCCGCCTCGTTCGCTGCTCCTGCTGCTGCTCTCTCCCTCTGCTCCGAAACCGCTCCTGCTCAAGCTCCCACCCACCGTCCCCCACACACCACGCAAATGTACTGTGTGTGTGTGTGTGTGTGTGTGTGGCAATTTTTGGTGATTGCACTTAGCCGCTGAAGTTGTACCACTTCCACGGCTCGTGTTTTTAGAGTACCACCGTGTGCCCCACGGCGCTTGCCTGATGAAAAAGGTTGATGACCCCTCGTCTCTCGGTGTAATCTGTGCGCTGTCGCTGTTTCCGCAGACCCCATGGGGTGGCCACGCCCTTATGATAGGAACTTATGTTCATTTGCCCCTGCGCTTTCTTGGGCGCAGGCGGAGAAGGATAGTGCGGCCACGGCCGCAGCGACCTTCGATGAGGCTGGCATCCGGTGTGCGAAGCAGCTTCCAGAGGTATTCCGTGAACGCCGCCGGCATCGCCCTTCGAAGCTCCCGCGGTGTCAGGAGCTGGGGGAATTCGCTCTGATGGCCGTTCATTCGATCCCCGCCTGCACCCACGCCAAGGTGGCAACTCAGTGGTCGCGGATCCCGAACGCCTCCCCAGAGGGCCATTCGGCGACGGTCGAACAGCATCGGCAGCTCGCGGACATGCTGGAGAAAGAAGGCACGCAGGCGTCGAGGAAGATGGGAAGTCAGCGAGCGCTCGCGCGGGCGCCATCCGACCCAAACGCACTCACGAGGCTCATTGCCGCATTACTTCGACAGCCTGATCCGCAGCTGTGTCCAGTGAGCCTCACGCTCGCGGCGCCGATCCCCCACCCTCGCGCTTCCGGCGCCGATCCCCCATTTCCCTGGGGTGAGCTCTCCCGCAGAGTTGCTTGATCTATGGTGGCGCCTTCTTCTTGGGCAGAAGCCCGAGTGCGCCGCTCTGGTGCGCAACGTAGACCTCATCTTGCAGCCTGTGGAACGCGTCCTTCCAGGCCGCTCCGCCCCACGACGCTTCTGGCAAGGTCTGGCGTGCTTTGCGATCTCGCTCGAGGCGCCCGCGCGACTCCTGCGACCCTGTCCCCGCTGACGCGGATGATCCAGATCCCCGCGGTGACCTCCCTGTGGGTTGACTTTCCCGCTGAGCTCCTCTCCGCGCTCCTGCTCAGGATGGCGGGCCCGGAGATTCACGCCAATCCTGCGTCGCTGCTTCGCCGGCAACCCTGGGGGAGCTTGGGCAGCTTACCTGACATGCGTCGCTTGGTCGTGGAGGTCCTCCTTCCCAACCACATTTTCGGAGGGTCTCCACCGGGCTCGTCATTCGGTTTCTACGGCGCAATTGCTCCCACGCGCTTGACCTCTCTTCTGATAGGGTGCTCCCCCACGCGCCAGCTTCTGCAGAGACGTGGATCGAGCTGCTCGATGTGATCCTCCGCGAGGACGCAGACCACGCCGTTGCGACGCTTAAGCGCAAGGCCAGACGCTGTAGTGGCCGTCCATGGGTGATGCGCGCGGCCGCCTCGACGGCTATCGCCGCCTCCCGCCGGCGGCGGGGTCGCCCGAAAAGGGAATACATCTCTTATGAACTACATCGCGGAGATCCGCGTGAACGGAGAACTCGGGGGCGCCGACGAGGCCGTGATCAAGCAACTGATTTCACATGCTTGCATGGCAGCAGGTCTGGAGCTTCGGCCTACGCCCCCACGGGCCAGTCCCCGCAGCCGGGACACTGGGTGCATCTCGCATTTCGGGAGGTTGCTGCACCTCCTGGTCGCGCTCGCCTGTTCCTTAGCTCACCCGGCGAGGTTCGGGTGGTGTTCAACGCGCTCCATTGGCTGATTATTCAAGCGGGGGTCGACTACGTGGCCATCACCGTCACCAGCGACTTCCACGATGCTGGGCTCATCTCGGGAAACAGGCGGCGGGGGGGGGGCAGGGGGCTGCTTGCCCCGCGGCCGCGTAGAGCAAAACGACCCAGATGATTTTGGGATTCAGATTTGTACCTGCGTGGGTTCCACATTCTAGCTAGTGGACGTCGCTTTCGAGATTCGCTTGGGCCCCCCACGACCGAGCTCTCTGTGCCGCGGCCAGTCCAGCGATGCGGAGCCTTTTCCGACATCTCGTACTTATTCGTCTTTCGCTTGCACGTCGCCTTGCACGTTCTTACCTCGTCTCCCTGTTTTTTTTTTTTTTTTTTTTTTTTTTTTTTTTTTTTTTTTTTTTTTTTTTTTTTTCCACTTGTCCAGTTACTTCAATGTGTCCAGGGCATTCTGGCTCCAATGACAACGCGCTTGCAGACAGATGTACCGTGCCAGCTCCACCTGCAGAAGCAGATCCGCCATGCTCTCGGACACATCGTTTTAGCAGCACCGCCAGTGTCCCGCGCGTCCACTTGCCCGGGCCTTCCGGTCAGACGTCGAGCACGGCCCCTTTTTAGGTGAGTTTTCGGCCTTCACTTGGCATTTGCCTCGGGTGCCAGTCGCCATCGGGCCAAGTCGTACAAAGTACGACAGTTGATGGCGGACCACGACGTTGGCCTTTGCACAGAGACGCATGGCACCGCTGGTGGCAACGCCTGTTGGCGGAAACCCACAGACTGCACTTCCCGGTGGGCTCCTGGCCACGCCGCGGGCAGCACGGGGGCGGGCGTGACTGGTCAGAACAGATTCCTTTCCTAGTTCACCGCGCGGCCTCGATGGCAGATTCTGCTCCCCGGCCGCGCCGCTGTCTTACGTCTGCGCGGTGCGGAGGGATTCTTGGACACCGTGGTTGCGCATTTTCACATTCGCGGCGCCCCCTCCCAGGAAGACGTCGACGTGGCAGGTCTCTCCCTTCTCGGCCGGTTTCCCAGCTTCGCCGACCGACGAGATGCTCTGCGCCGGCGCATCGCGCAGCACGTCCTGCCCAAGGATCGGGAACTCGCGTTGTTTGGGGGCGACTTCAACTACGCGGCCGCTCCCGACGACTGTCGCTGCATCAACGCCGGCGTTGCGACGGGCGCGCGGGGCCGCGGGGTGTCAGCTAGTTGGCGCCGTCTGGCTGAACTTCCCCATGGGCTGCATGAGCTACACCGGCCCGACGCGACCTACGTCTGGCGGCCTCCCGGCTCCGCATCGACAGTCTCTTCTTCGGCCGGAGCGTCGCGGAGGGTTTCTGCCGCAAGATGACGCGCGCGGCCGCGGCGTGGGCCCCCGAGGGGCCGTAAGTTTTCGCCGCGCTGTGCCCAGGCACGCCTCCTTCGAGACCGCCGCTGCCCGACGACGCGATGGAGAATCCAGCATGGCCTCACCGAGTGGCATTGGCATGGCAAGATGTTTTGGCTGAGGAAGCTCGCCCCTCTCTCTCCGCAAGCTGACGTGCCTCAAGAAGGCGATGCGGACCGCTGCCCGCGACTTGCTTTTCTCGGCGCCCCCTGTGGAGGATGCCGCGGCACTCGAGGACAGAGTTGGCGTCGCCATGAGGTTTCGTCGCTCCTCGGAGGCAGGATCGGCGACTGGGGTGAGACAGTGCATTCTCCGGTGCCCGCTCCCCAAAGACCTCGCGGGCAATCCGCGTGACTTCGATTCGCCCTTTGGTTGGCGTCTCCGCCGCGTGAGGCAGCACGTCGCAGAGCTTGCTCGCGATCGCTTTGTGTCCGAGCTGCGGCAGCTGCGCGAGGGCATCGAAGGCTCGTCCGATGAGCAAGCCACGCGCCGTCGGCAGCGGAACCGCAGGTTTCTTACTCGCGTGGCGCCTGGTCGCGGATGTTCCTTTCACGCACTCAGGGGCAATTATGGGATCGCGTCTTCCTCCTTGAGAGCACGGGTCTCAAGTTTTTCGGCGTCGCGATACCGATGGGCAATTTCGGGGGGCGCGGCTTGCTGGGGAGGGCATCCACGCTGCTTCTAAACAGCTTCGCCACGTCCTCGGCTATGCAGCCTCGTTCGAGACCTTCGAACAAGCCGCCGTCACCACGAACAACAGCTCGCCAGGGCCCGACGACATTCCTTTCAAAGCATGGCGCAAGCTTAGGAGATTTGATGCGGAGGCTCTCTACGACGCTTTCTGCGCATTTGTCTGTCCTAGTGGCATGTCTACGCGGGGGGCGGATTGGGGGGGGCTGTCGCGCGAGCTTGACGCCATTCCTTCCCGAGAAGCCGTCTGGTTCTACCCTGGAAGGCCCGGGCATCTTCGCTGCGAACAACATGCAGCCATTGAACATCACCGACGTCCGCATTCACATCGAGCCAGAGGCGCCCCAGGGATCTTTCAATCTCAGCGCGGATCTCTTCGCGGCCGACCGATGCTGGCCAGTCGCGTGGGCATAGAGGAGGCAATGCTTCGCAATTCCCTGGCCCACAGGCCTCGGCGGCGGTATTCTCCGATTTCGGGGCCGCTTCCCCGAGCGCCAGCCAGGAGTTCTTATCGGAAGTGATTGCTGCGCGAGGCTGGCTTACGTGGTGCGTTTGGCTAGTCCGTGCGCTATGCTGGAACAACCACTGCAACGTCGTCGCTGGTGGGGCGAAGTTCGATGGGCGCACTCTCGCCGCAGGGTTTCGTCAAAGCTGCCATTATCTCCCTTGCTGTTCGCGGTGCGAGCAGATGTCCTTTTGCGGCGGCTTGCTCGGTGTGTTCCTGGCGCTCTACCGCGCGCCTACGCTTTCGATCCGGCGGTCGCTCTCTTGCGTGGGATGGAAAACGCCAGGCTTTTGGAACGCATGTTCGAAGAGTGCGCGTTGCTCTTTGGGCTCCTGCTTCGCCGCGGCAAGTCAACATGGGCGCCGCAATCGTTGGGCGGCTTGGACCAGGTGCGCGTGCAGCCCCCAGCAGAGGCCCTTAATTGGAGCGACTTCACAATTCGTCGTTCTGCGACCTACCTAGGTTTCGCTGTTGGGCCTCAGCGCGCTGGACATGATTGGGCCAATTCTTTTGGAGAACTTCATTGCGCGAGTCCGGATCCGCAGAGACATCGGGTAGGGCCTCTTGTTGGCGCTTTTGGCTTACCGCACCTACATATTCCCGGTTCTCGGCTTCGTGCTTCAGCTCGACCGCGCCCCCGCTCCGTGGGATGACTACGAGCAACAGGCGCGCGCGATCCTCTTCCCAGGTCCGCGGTGCTGGGCCCCTCCCGCGGCGCTGCGGAGCCTGCGCGCCCTCGGATTCCAGAGTGCGTTCCTGGGCGCCCGCGCAACGGCTGCGGCAGCGAAGCGCCGGGTCTACTAGTGGGGGAACGTGGCTCGCGGCGGCCTCCAGGTGCGCCGAAGAACCCGGGCATTTCAGCGCGTGCGAGGGGGTTCCGATCACGCGATGCGGCAGGCAGGGTTGCGCGACTTGTGCCAGCACAATTTTTTCACCAACCTCGACCATGTCCGCGGGCTGCTCTGGCAGAAAGATGACGAGCGCTCGGATGACGACGGCCGAGCTGATGCCAGGTACTGTTTCGGAGCTTCCTCCGCGAGAGCAGTTGCAACAACGTCGCCGAAATCTCATGGAAGACTGGTCCCGGACTGGGGCGATCCGTCACCATAACCGCTGCCTAACTCGCCTGTCCATTCCGCTCTTGCCGGGCCCCCGCCTGGAGCGGGCCTTTGGTGCCCTCCGCGGATTGGTGCGTTTGGTGCCTCCTCGAGTTGGGGCGTCCAGCTCTCGTGCGGTCTGCGACGGATGGGGCGCCGGCCACCGCGTGCCAACGCGTGCAGCGACGCTTGAGTTGCGTCCTGCGACCGTATGCGTCCTGCCCGTGGGCTCCGGATTTCAGCTGGAGGCGACCGCTTGTCGAGCTTTCTTCTTTTTACCCCTTCCTTCCGCCATGGCACGCACGGGCAGTGAGTTTGCTCGCCGTTTTCTTGCCGCGCACGCACTGTACGCTGCGGGAACGCCGCGCGCCACGGTCAGACTGCCGATGCGCAAGGGGCTCTGCTACAGTATGCGCACGAGGCTTGCGCATCACACGCTGGATTGGCGAACGTTGTAGCTGCAGTGTGGAGTAGCCAATCGTTGCTCCCTCTTCCACTCTGCCGGTTTGGTCCTCACCCCCTCGCCCTCGTCTCTCATCGTTATTTCTGTATGTGTGCGTTTTCATAGTTGTTTGTTCAGTTCTCCTCTCCTGGCTGTTGCCAGCAACCATAAGGGTTGCAACTCGCTCCTCCTCTTCTCTCCTTTGCCGTCCTCCCGCTTGGGGCCGGGGCGGCCCGGAATTTCGGTTGGTATCGGACTCGGAACTTTAGTTGCCTTAGCGCCTGGGAACGCCGGCGGGCGGTGTTTTATGTGCGGCATTCACTTGGGAACCCGTCCCAATTGATAAGTTTCATTGGGAATGCGTATCGCTCGGGGGGTGGATTTAAGTGTTGTGTTTTTTCTCGTTTGCATGCACTTGCACGGAGCTCGGATTTTGACATCTAAATGGTATCTCCAGTCAATCAATTCCAACCCTTGTTGCGCGCGTTGGCTCGCCTAGTGCAGGTTGGCTTGAGCGCTGCTCCATATGTTCTGTCATTGACCTCTTCCCGTTCCCCTCCTGCGTTCCTTCGCCTCTGTCGCAGAATTTCGGCCACGTTCGCAGGAGGACCTTGCGTGTCCTGTGCCGTTGCCGTGTTGTGTTCTCTACCAGGTTTTGTGCATCGCGCGCGGGGTTCAGAAAAAAAAAAACCCTCGAGGGGCAGCGGATTCTTGAGAGATGGACTTGTTTTTCAGGAAGGAAGAGAAACATCTTCGTGGCCTCACAGGGCGCTCCACCGAAGACCCCCGTGGCGGTGTTCGCATGCCTTTCTTCCACGCAATACAGCGCTTTGCTATCCCGTAGGGAGCTCCACCGACGGCCCCAGAGGCGACGTTCGCATGGCGGCCCCGCTTCATCTTGGTGCACCGCTCAATGGTTTCGTGGCTGCATCTGGAGCGCCACCGAAGGCCCCAATGGCTGCGCTCGCATGCGTCCCCGCCGCATTTCGGCACGCCCGTTACGCGCTTCGTGGCGGCCCCATACAGAGATCCACCGAAGGCGATACCCACCACGGCGATATTCATAGCTAGAAATGATTGGGCGCCTTGGTAATTCCTTGAATCTGGGCTTTTTTCCATGATCGAGAGGGCCTTAACATGACCCTGAAAACGACGACGTCGACGACGTCGACGACGAGGGCGAGGATGAAGATGAGGATGAGGATGAGGTTGAGCATGATAATTCGGATGAGGATGAAGAGAAGGAGGAGGAGGAAGAGGAGAAGGAGGAGGAGGGGGAAGAGGAGGGTGAGGAGGATGAGATTGCTGGATATTCCGCTATCGCAAGTGTGGTTAGAATCCGCAGGCCGCCCTCTGAATTCGAACGAGAAGTAGCCGAACCAGAAAACGTCTGACAGAAAGAAGAGGAGCCAGAGGAGGACGGCCACAGCCGCGCATACCTCTGATGACTCCCTCGTCGCACAAAGAGAGCGAACACCAACTTGCACACACAACTGACCGCCAGATAATCAGAGACGAATGCCACTCGATACCGCCCTGTCCATGATGAAGCCCAGAACAGGTCACTGGGCAATTTTTTAACCGAACGAACTCGCAAGCTGTACTGGTACTGAGCTCGCTTCCTCCACAAACGGCCCCACCAACAGCCAAACCAAGGAACAGCATATACCCACTACCAAATGCGCAGCTGCATTCCTCCAAACCTGCCCACAGCCCACAATTGCACAGTAGTACTTGTACAAGAAAGCTCCAACCTCGACTATCCCAGAAAAACAACCTTGCGCTGGCCAGGCCCAGCCGACACAACCGAGCGATTGCCTTGCGCTGGCCAGGCTCAGCCAATCACCAGGTACGGTACACAGTGCTGGAGCCCACAGAACATTTGGTGAGCACGTGCGGAAGTAAAGGGCCACAGGTTCAGGAACCCGCCGAAGACGGGGAAGACCCGGCCCAAGATGGATCTGACTCGATCTATCTCCCGCAAGTCGATCACGAAAGATCTGCCGAGCGCTGCTCATCTCTTTGTCCGACTTCGCCACCGCGATCGGCAACGCAATGAAACAGGTGAAGACGCGTTGCCACCCACGCGCAACGTTTCGGCGTCGGACACCACTCAGAGCTCGCCGGGAAGCCAAACTGCTACGGAGAGTCTCGAGCCGATGCCTGAGGGAGGAGGTGGGGGAGGAGGAGGAGCAGGAAGAGGAGGAGGAATAGGAGGAGGAGGAGGAGGAGGAGGAGGAGGAGGAGGAGGAGAGGAGAGGCGAGGAGAGGCGAGGAGAGGAAAGGAGCGGGTCAACAGGAGGAGGTGAGAGGAGGAGAAGAAGCAGGAGGATGAGAGGAGCAGGAGGAGCCGCATGAGGAGGAGGAGGCCGAGGAGAAGGAGGTGAAGAAAGAGGGGATGATGATGATGATGCTGATGATGATGATGGTGGTGGTGATGGTGACGGTGATGATGAGGGGATGATGGTGATGGTGACGGTGATGGCGATGGTGATGATGCTGATCATGTTGATGATAAGGAAGATGCTGATGCTCATGCTGATGCTGTTGCTGATGAGGATTATGATGCTCATGCTGATGCTGATGATATTGCTGCTGATGATGATGATGGTGGTGATGATGATGATGATGATGTCGCTGATGATGATGCTGATGATGATGATGATGATGATGATGATGATGATGATGATGATGGTGATGATGATGATTCTGATTATGAGGAGGAGGAGAAGGAGGAGGAGGAGCAGGAGAAGGCGGAGGCGGAGGGTGACGAGAAGGTGGATGTGCATGGGGAGGGGGAGGCAGAGGTTGAGGGGAGATGGTTGGGGGCGAGGAGGGAGCTGGTTGAGGGGACTGAGCACGAGACGGGAGTGCAGGTTGGGGGCGACGACGACGACGACGACAACGATGTGGACGTGGGTCAGACCGCTCAGGGATGCTTCAGGAGGAGGAGCGGGAGGAGGAAGAGAAGGAGGAGGAGGAGGAAGAGAAGGAGGAGGAGGAGGAGGAGGAGGAGGATGGAGACGAGGTGAAGGAGGAGGCAGAGGGGGAGGAGGAGGACGAGGAAAAAGGATGAGGAGGAGGAGGAGGAGGAGGGAGAGGAGGAAGAGGAGGAGGACGATGAGGAGGAGGAGGATGAGGAGGAGGAGGAGGAGGAGCAGAAGGAGGAGGAGGAGCAGAAGAGGAGGAGGAGGGAACAGGAAAATGGCGGAGGAGGAGGCGGAGGAGGAGGGGGGAGGTGGTGGAGGAGGAGGAGGAGGAGGAGGAGGAGAACGAGGAGGCGGAGGAGGAGGAGGAGGAGGAGGAGGAGGGGGAGGAGGAGGAGGAGGAGGAGGAGGAGGAGAAAGCGAAGGAGAAACACGAGGTTGAACAAAGGACGAGGACGAGGGTGGAGGAGACGAGGAGGAGGCGAGGAGGAGGAGGAGGAGGAGAACGATGAGGAGGGTGGATGAGGAGAAGGAGGAGGAGGAGGGGGAGGAAGAGGAGAGGGAGGAGGAGAACGAGGAGGATAACGAGGAGGAGGAGGAGGAGGAGGAGGGAGGAGGAGGAGGAGAGGGAGGAGGGAGGAGGAGGAGGAGGAGGAGAGGAGGAGGAGGAGGAGGAGAGGGAGGAGGAGGAGGAGGAGGGAGGATGAGGAGGACGAGGAGGAGGAGGAGGAGAAGGAAGGAAGGGGAAGGAATACAGGAAGGAGGAGGAGGCGGCGGAGGATGAGGAGAGGGAGGCAGAGGAGGAGGAGGAGGAGGGCAATAAGAATAGTATGAGAAGGGTGAGGTGGAGGAGGAGGCGGAGGAGGAGGAGGAGGAGGATCATGGTTCTCAACTGAGAGTGGTGTGATGACCCCAGGGCTCAGAGCTCCAGGGACGCGACGATGATGATGATGATGATGCTGATGTTGATGATGATGATGCTGACAGCAATGATGACGGCAATGATGATGATGATGATGATGATGATGATGATGATGATGATGATGATGATGATGATGATAATGACGAAACTGCTGCTGATGCTGAAAGTGATGTTGATGATGCTGATGACGATGATGATGATGACGATGCTGATGCTGATGCTGATGATGATGATGATGATGAGGATGGTGATGATGATGATGATGATGATGATGATGATGATGATGATGATGATGATCATGATGATGCTGATGATGCTGATGCTGGTGATGGAGATTACGGCGCTTCTGGCAGTACTTTCAAGTGCGGCTTGGTGCCTGGACAATTTGGCCGTCCATGTCCATTTTGTCCGGAGAC